AGGCTGGTTTGGTGAAAAATTTGTGCGTTTAGGCCAGGGTTCGGCTTCGTGTGGACGGGGCCTAATTGAGCAAAATTCTCTCCATATGTGTTGTTTTTATTGTCTGTTTTTTGTCCCTTAGAGCCCACATAGCTTCGAATCAAATCCCAGTTTGTCTGTGTGCTGACAGAACATCGGACCGAACAGTTAATCTAAACTTAGCTCCACATCCTGAGCTGCACAGAAATCTGGAGCAATCAAAGCCACTTAAAAGATAAGAAAGTCTGGCTGCCCGATAGGCAAACCTAAAGAGATTTACTCTTGCTTTGTGTTCTTTTTTTTCACTCTGTAGTTTTCCATGTTGTATTTGAATCATCTTGATAACAAAACTAAAATAAATCTTTGTATCTTAGTGCTTTAAATGATCTCCAAAATCAAATCTTTTAAACAGAAAATGTGAGGGACCTCTGTGTAGAATAGAACAAGATAATGTTTGATCTTCTTGTTCATTGATTGCTCCAAACTCTTTTTTTCTTTATGTTTTCAGGCATTTACTAAACATGGCTCGAGCCTATTTTATACAGGCCTGCTTGCTGTTCTGTCTTGACATTATTCTCAAGATTAAAAATAAGTAGCTTATAAGGAGAAGTGAAAAAAGGGCTTTCATGTTCACAGCCAGCTGGTTGGTTCATAATGTGGTTCTTAGCCGCCATGTAAGGTTCAGCATTTATTCCTTCCAGACTTTCCTGTTTCTCTGTTTGTCAGCTTCTCCTTTATGGAGTTGATGCCGTGATGGGAACTGGTCAAACAGGGAAACCCTGACGTCTCTGTCCTGTTTCCAGTCTGACTCTAATACACCCTGCAGAGGAAACTAGCTCATAGTATCAGCAATCACTTTGGTCATAATCTGTATCTCATGACAGTTGGTGAAGTGAGGAAAATAAATGAAAATGGACACTGCTTTCGCTTCCTCACAAACGCCTCAGTGCATCTATGCTCTTGCTGCGCCTAACATCCCTCGTTACCAAACACCCAGTACATTTTGCAGGGTAAAGTGACACTTTAAGTGTTATATTAAACACCAATCCGAGCTAATTTTTTCCCACTCGGAATTAAGCCGCTTTCCCACTCAAAACGGGGTTGACCCGCTAACAATCGGCTTTTGGCTCTTTATGCATTTCAAGGTGCGTTGCCACCGTCCCCCACTACTGCGTGTCTGATGACGGCATCACGCTGGGTAAGCGTTGATAATGTCGACAGCCTGATGGAAATCAGGGAAGTAAATAATGGAGAGCGACATGGACGGGAGCCAGACCGTATTCTTTATTATCTCGCTCTTTTATCTGTCCGGATCCCTCTCACCCGAGCTGCGCCATGTTTATCGGATGTAAAGAGAGTCGTTTCTGTTTGTTAAAACAGAAGCGACTGGTGCAGTGTGTTGACGTCCGTACGTTGTGTCCAAGAGTGTCCCAAAGCATGCCGATTTTAACGCAGGTCAAATGCCAAGTCGTTGAAACTGGGTTACTGAGCTGTTCCCACTAAAATCCCTTTGTTTCTGGGTTTAAACGGGTTTCTCGGCCCTGTGAAAGGGGTATTTATGTGAAATTAACTCTCTACTTCAGGTATCTCACTCCGGTTGTTGTAATAACTA